ATAATGTGTTTTTTGAACATTAAAGCATGTCAACATATTCTGTTACACCAAATACACAAAATAATGATCTTTAAAATACCATCATATGACCCCTTTAATAACGTTTTGTAAGCTAGTTTGTCATTGAATCTTACTGTTTTATTGTTGTTGTGCGTTTTAATTAAAAATAATGAATCCATCTTTTTTTTTTTAGTTTTAAAAGGTGAAAGGTGTATAGATGTAAGCAAAACAGACAATTATGTTTTATTGTAAAACCTGACAAGATCGTGAAATCGAAAGTGAAAGCATCCGAAGCCCGGCTTATAACATGGCAAAAGAGGAACTCCCGTTCACAAAATTCAAATCACAAATAATACTACTGATGATAAAGAACGGGTTGAATGTTAACTACTTTCGTTTCCATATAACTATAAACTACGATAAAAGTTCATCAGCATGCATTGATTAATAGCATGTTGTAGCGCAAAAAAAAAAAAAAACTTGCTTGTGCAACCGAGAAAGTTAATTGCAAAAGAGCGAGCAGTGGGAAGAATGAGTCTGGAGCCCTGAATTGCCCAGCTCCCTCTGTCAATGATCTAGCACCCCCTCAGCACCTGCAAAATTCTCTGGCGCCGCCCCTGGTACATCCATGTATTTTTGAAAAGCAAAAATTACGTTTGTCCGACTCTAAACCCAGTCCCCAAGTAAATTAGGTTCTTAAATAAAAAACTAGCAAAACGAGTTGCGGTGTCCCCACCACTTTTCAAAGCAAAGTTACGCCACTGATATACTGTATGCTAATGTATCACTATATTTTGAATATTATAATAATGACTAAATAATGAAAGTCACAAAGCTGTTTTCTTAAACCTCAGTTTCCTCAGCTTAATATTACCTAAAATCTGTTAGGGTTTTTTTATTCATTGTTTCATTTTGCTGGTACTTAGTCAATGTCAGTATGTTAAGTTCTCATTATCTCTCTCTACGTGCTTGGTACTGTAAATATAAGGGTCATGACCAACATTATCTCTCACAACTTGGTGAAACATTCAATTTACTCTCCTACTCTATGTTTATGTGCAATCTTCAGCAGTTTTAGTGAACGTCTCGACGTATTGCAGAAATTATACATTTTTAGAATATATTTTGCAGTCTCTACAGCGTCTAGGAGGCTGTTTTGCTCTTAGAAACAAAACAGGCCTGTTTTACTCCTTAAACCCATGTAGCCTGAACTTTCCCCTTAAATGTGATGAAACAGCATTGACCTGTCTGTCACACACTTCCGAAGTCAGCATGTTTTCCTTGTTTATTAGTCCATTGTCAGCTTAGGCATTATTATTGTTCCATAAGAACCTTTACTCTATTTCTAACAAAGAGTAATGTGATATTTATGTGTCATATTAACATTCAAGCTCTCTGCTTCTAGCTTTCCATGCTACTTTTTCAAGAAAGCATCAGCTGCTCATATTTTATGGACATGAAACCTTGCAAGTGTCCACCGAAGGTGGCAGGTATTTCCCCCGCAGGACACACTGACCTCAGAGCTGAGGAATGACCCACAAACCAAATACTATAGCAACTTATAGGAAACGTACATAATATCCTCAGATTTAAGCCTCACAGTTTAATCAATTTGTATGATTATTAATTCAATTAAATAACAAAATAATATATTAATTTGTTTATTAGGGTGACCATACATCCTCTTTTTCCTGGACAGGAAAAAGGATTTCAAAATTGCCTAAAATGTCTGGGTTTTGGTTTTATTTTTCTATTGACATGCTCTATAAAGTCCTCGTACATTATATGTATGTGCATTTGCATTGCTTTGACCATTCTCTGTAGATACAACCTTCTTGCATGCCACAATGTGTAATGGCAAGTAACACACTGAATTAAACGTGAAACTCAAAAAATAAAATGTAATCTTTTAATTGCAATTAACATCGCATATTTAAAAAAAAATGTACTGTAACTTCAAACAATATTTTTTTACGAATATTTTTTGTTGTTTTTGTTACAGAACAAACAGCAGAAAAATTTAGCAGAGGCAAGCCTAAAATGCATAGTTGTCCAAAGAAGGCATACACCATGAAAAATTATTTTTACAGTAGCATCTGAACTTGTTATTGTAACCAGTGTTTCCGAACTGAAACCTAACTGGCTTCATCTGGTGAATTATGACATTGGCAACACTTTCTAATCATTTTTTAATGGTAGCAAGTGTAGAGCATGTGTTCCCGGGGTTTTAGAAAGATGTTTTCCATTATTTCATCACCCTCCTCCACTAAAAATGTCAGAAATATTTCATGATTCCTGTAGCAGAGTAACTGGCAGCGGTGGACTGTATGTGCCAACAGCTGCACTGCAGCAAAAGCACTACATGAAGTGGTAATATCAGCTGACCCTTCCTCCAGAAAGTGAGATCACAGACAGGTCATTGGCTGTTTGACTGGAGCTGTTTTTAAACCTTCCTATTGTCTTCTTGATCGCACTGCGTACTAAGAAATCATCTTAGAATTGTCATGTATGAATTGTTTGTGAATTAAATTGTCTGTTTTGTTCTGCTAGTATTATTAAATACCGTTACTGCCCCTATAAAAGAAGATATCACTAGCACATAAAACATGGGTAAATTTAGATACTGAGCTCTGCAGCATTTGTGAAAATTAAGATGATTCAGTGTTTGTGTTTCTCACAATGCCAGAATACCGGATTTGGTTTGACACTAGGTCCAGGATTTTCCAGAATTTCACTAGCTTTCACAATGCCAGTTACGTCTATATTGCAACACCATTAACAAACACCACACACGGAGAAAGTACATGTTGTCAACTGCCATGGCACACGATTGTACTCAGTTTTACTGAGAGTTTTACTCAGTGAACTAGGGAACTATTGGAAAATAGTTCCCTGATAAGGATTGAAGGATTAAGAACACAATAATAAGTGGCAGTGCATAGCTTAATACATCTTATTCTGGTCCAGTCCAAGGTCTCCGCCTACATTCACAAAGAAAAGCCATCAAAAAACAATACACAGCCTACCTGGCCATCACAAGCCATCTTGCAGATACACCATTCCTAATGCCTGGACATTGAGTCTGTCAAGCTGAAGATGACTTTTGACACGGTTCCCATAAATGGTCTGTCACTCAGCACTTCATGTTCACATTCATGGATCATTTCCCATCAATACAGATGATTAAACTTGGATAACTCCAAACTAAATGGTAATATTAACCTAATTTACCATCTTTCAACCACTGTGACATTCCACTGGCTATTAGATGGCTTTTAGTTTAATATACATTTTGCGTTCTAAGAGATTAATATTTTCTTAGCAAATTGCTGTCCTTTTTGCATTCAAAGACTTTTATCAGACATGGTTGAGTATTTCATCCCATCAACTGTATACAAAGAAATAGACCCCAATGGAGTGAAAAGGGAAAGGGACTGTGCCAAGTGTTTTAATATGCCAGATTGCTTGCTTTTAAGACCCCAGACTGCATAAAAATACTTTTTCATCATCTATGTAATAACTCTTTCAAATAAGATTCTGTCATTTATGGCCATTAAAAAGCAAACAAAATGTCATATTTTCCCAAACACCAGTAGAAGAGGCATGTTTTATCCCTGTGTTGTTTTCATGGCACTTGTATGTCAGCAGATGTTTGCAGTTATGCCATTTAAGAGCTGTTTTGGGCTCCACGTGTTGATCCAGACCCAGTTAAAATGTGCAGCACACTGGATGACCGACAGTAACCCCGGCGCTCAGAGCGGATGCGCTATAAAACCACTTC